AAGTACATTTATCAAACATTACAGTTAATTAAATGAGAGACAAATAAGATTCTAACGATGTTATACCATACAACACCTTTAATTTACTTTACAGCAGAAGCAAATATCTCCGTTCTAATGGACAGAGAGGGTCGATGGACTTTGTATATTCTAATGTCCAATAATATCTTCAGCTTTCATAGCCATTAACCTATAAACTTGTGCAATTTGTTACATGGTAAATCAAATTTTGTCCGAGTTTTGTCCAATTCAGCAATTTGGAAGCAGACAAATTTCCAAACTGCCACAAAATGAAAGCAAATGAAATCCGTAACAAGTCAAATCAATCCATTTCAGAACCATTTGTTTTGATGCAGGAGTTATCTACTAAACTTGCTGAAATATATATATATATTTTTAAATTGACTTTTTATTTTTGATCTTCCAACTGTTTAGTAGATAGCGCTATATTTAGGTAGACTATATATTTCTAATACAATATATATATATATATATATATATATATAACAAATTGTGTAGAGATAGCACTCCCAGGACTCCAAAGGTGTAAAAATAAAATGTAACTTTTATTTTCCAAATTAAAAGATCAATGTTTCAATTTGCCACCCAAACTTTCATCAGGGCACCGAGTTTTGGGTAAAGTTTTGAAGAGATTATTTCAATGTGAAGGCCAAAGGGTAGATTGGGGTCTAGCAACATACCTAGGTATTTGAAAGAACAGGCTGCTGTCAGTGTGCTATTTGAATTTGTTCTGATACACAGTTGTTGATTTTGTCGTTTACGTAATTTAGGTACAGTTCCAAAGATCATTGTAACGGTTTTGTCAGTGTTTAGGAAGAGTTTGTTATCCGCTATCCACTTTTCTAATTTTGTGAATTGGTTTTGGAGCAGAGCCTCAAGCTGCGGAAGATTGGGTTTACTAGCATAGATTACAATGTCGTCTGCATACATGTGTACAGTTGTGGATTTGCAGACATTAGGCAGATCAATTTTAAATAATGTGAATAGCATGGGGGCTGAGTATGGAGCCTTGGGGATCACCACATGTGACTGGAAGAGGGAGGAAGGTGCTATCAGAAATGGCCACATATTGCATTCGATCTGAACCATATGATCGGAACCAGGTGGTTAGCGGACGATCACCACTGCCTGAGTTTTTTTATTTTTGACAATACTGGGAGCAATGATATCGGGAGATAAAACGATACCAAAGTATTGTCACCAATTTTGCAGTCTTCCAAAGTTTGGGTATGTATCCTGACACCATGGATTCATTGATAAGGGTAGTGACCGGTTTAGCAATTGCTGGCACTCTGAGCTTCAGCAACATTGCTGGGATTTGATCTGGTCCACACTGTTTTTTCATTTTTAAATTATTAGGATGTTTATTAACAAAACTAACAGGCACAAGTCCAAACTTGCATTTTTCTATGTGATCATTTTGAAGATTTGGCAGGGCCTGATTTTTATTTGTCGTCTGAAAATGAGTGTCATTTGTTATCTTAGCATTTGCTACATCTAGGGGGTTACAGTGTTTGGTTGTCCATTTTGACAGTGGAGGGTGGGGAATGGATTGTGGGGGTTTGTATGCTATTTACGATTTTCCAAAAGTTTCTTGGGTTTGATATGTTATTGTTCACATTTTCACTGAAATATTGGACATTTGCCATTTTTGTTTGTTTCTCACATATGTGTAGGCTTCTGATACAAAAAAAGGCAATAAACACATTCTGAAGGTGCTTCCCATTTTTAACATACTTTAACATACTAGTAGAAAATTCCTTCTTGACACAGAATAGTAGTCAGATAAATCTGTGAATCAAGACACTATTACCTCACTTATTAAAAAATTATATCCCTGTATATTATGTTTTTATAAGTATTTATCCAATTGTTGTTCAAACATCTGTTTAAACTTTGATGAAACCACCTCTTCGGCACATCCTTATTTTTCTTACTGTAAAAAATCCTTTCCTTTGCCTTAGACTAAATCTCCTTTCTTCCTGTCTAAATGCATGACCTTGTGTCCTATGTATAACCTTGTTAAGGAATAGATTTCCAGACCATGATTTGTTTGGCCTTTAATACATTTGTATATTTAATGTCACCGTTCATTAAAACAAATAGATGGGGCATTCTAAAATAGCAGCCACTATCTTACAGGATGTAATGGTTACCATCAACATAGGAAAATAGATACCATAACAGACAAATAATGAAATGGCATGCAGAGGTCAGTGTTAAAATAACTAAATTGAGCTTAGCAGGGATATATGTCATTGCAAAATATGAAAATAGGACAGTATCTGGGAACACTAATTTGTTTATATTGGGTGAAGTCCGAGTTAAGGGGTTGATCTTTAAAGACAGCAGGTGCACAGAACAAGGCACTTACAAAAATAGAATGCTAACAGGAAGAACAAAAAATAATCAAGGCAGTTAGAAAAAAATATTTACTCGCTAGGCTCGTGCAAGGCAACAAAAAATCAGTTCATCTACATCAATCCACCCAAAAAGAATATTGCTTCTGATAATTCTGATGATGGTTTCGTCTTTGTGGTGTGTCAATTAGGATGAAAATTCATTCACAGAGGCCAACATGTCACAAAACCTGGCCAATACGTGCACTGCAAAATATAAATATTAAATATACATTTTACATCACACTGATAGGTGCATTTTCCCACTACACATGAAGTGTAACGAAGTGACCCATAGAGGGAAAAAAAAAATTTACATTTATATATGTAAAGATTATATATTTATTAAATTTATCATATTATTATTATTATTATTATTTATATAGCGCCAACAAATTCCGTAGCGCTGTACAATGGGTGGACTAACAGACACATAATTGAGATCAGACCACTGACGTACAGGAACAGAGGGGGTTGAGGGCCCTGCTCGATGAGCTTACATGCTAGAGGGAGTGGGGTATAGTGACACAAAGGGTTAAAGTAGGGGAATTAAATAGTTTGTTACAGAAGGGTTTATTGAGTGCTTGGTAGGTCATTTTTGACAGGTGCAGGAACGGAGTCATGGGGTGGGGGATGAGAAACCTGCTGACAGTTTAATTGATACGCTTTAATGAAGAAGTGAGTTTTCAAAGATTTTTTGAAGGAATGGAGGCTGGGTGAAAGTCTGATTGAGGAGGGAAGGGAGTTCCACAGAATAGGTGCAGCCCTGGAGAAGTCTTGAAGGCGAGCATCAGAGGTGGGGATCCAGGCAGAGGATAGGCGTAGGTCTTGAGCTGAGCGCAGGGGTCTCGACGGGACATACTTGTGTATGAGGGAGGATAGGTATGTTGGAGCAGCATTATGTAGGGATTTGTAAGCAAGTGCCAGAATTTTGAATTGGGCCCTATATCTAACTGGAAGCCAATGCAGGGACTGTCAGAGAGTGGAGGCGTGGGAGGTGTGACCGGACAGGAAAATAAGCCTCGCAGCCGCATTCATTATAGATTGCAGCGGTGCAAGCTGGGAACATGTAAGACCGGTGAGAAGGGGATTGCAATAGTCAAGGCAAGAGAGAACAACAGCATGAACCAGTACCTTAGCCGCGTCCGGCGTTAGATATGGGCGGATGCGCGCTATGTTCTTGAGTTGGAAGCGACAGGATTTGGCTATCGATTGGACATGGGGAGTAAAAGAGAGATCAGAATCAAAAAGAACCCCTAGGCAGTGAGCCTGGGAGGTAGAGGTGATAGTAGCGCCGTTGACTTGGATGGAGACAGACACAGGAGTAGCAGCACTTGAGGGAGGAAAAACTAGAAGTTCTGTTTTGGACAGGTTGAGTTTAAGGAAGTGAGCAGCCATCCAGTTGTAAATAGCAGAGAGGCAGTCAGAAACACGAGTCAAGGTGGGCGGAGAGAGATCAGGGGAGGACAGGTAGATTTGCATGCCATCTGCATATAAATGGTATTGGACGCCAAAGGAGCTGATGAGTTTACCAAGGGAGGCAGTATAGATAGAGAACAGTAGGGGGCCGAGGACAGAGCCTTGAGGGACGCCGACAGAGAGGGGTTGGGGAGAAGAGGCAGAGCCAGAGAAAGAAACACTGAAAGAGCGCTGGGAGAGGTAGGAGGAGCACCAGGAGAGAGCAGTATCCCGTAGGCCAAAGTTACGGAGAATGTGAAGAAGCTGTTGATGATCAACAGTGTCAAAGGCGGCAGAAAGATCAAGGAGGATTAGGATAGAGTATTGGCCACGAGATTTAGCAGCAATTAAATCGTTGGATACTTTGTTCACAGCAGTTTCGACAGAGTGACCAGCGCAGAATCCATACTGTAGGGGGTCAAGCAGAGAGTTGGATTCGAGAAAGTCTGTCAATCTGGCATAGACAACTCTCTCGAGGATCTTGGAGGCAAATGGCAGTAGCGAGATAGGGCGGTAGTTGGATGGGGAGTCGGGATCAAGGTTGGGCTTTTTCAGAATTGGTGTTACGGTTGCATGTTTGAAGGCAGAGGGAAATGTGCCAGAGGAAAGGGAGAGATTGAAAATGTTAGTGAGAGGGAGACAAAGTGCGGATGAGATGCGAGGGAATAGGATCGAGGGAGCAGGTGGTGGGGCGGGAGGACAGGAGCAGAGCAGAGCAGAAACCTCTTGTGCTGTAGCAGGTGCAAATGAGCTTAGGATGGCAGGGGGAGTGGGGTGGGGTGATGTTTTGATACTGGTAGGAGAAAGATTAGAGATCTCTTTCCTGATTGTAGAGATCTTCTCAGTGAAATGAGATGCAAAGTTTGTGGCGGATAAGGTGGTGGAAGGAGGGGGAGTCACAGGGCGAAGAAGAGCATTAAAAGTGTGAAACAGGTGTTTGGGTTGGTGGGACTGTGTGCTTATGAGGGTGTTGAAGTAGTTTACTTTTGCAGAGGAAAGAGTCATGCTGTAGGAGCGCAGCATAAATTTATAGTGGACAAAGTCAGATGCAAAGTGAGACTTTCTCCAGCAGCGTTCAGCAGTTCTGGAACATTTTTGGAGGTAACGGGTCAGCTTGGTGTACCAGGGTTGTAGTTGGGGGCGCTTGCTGCGTTTAACTGTAGGAGGTGCCATGATGTCAAGTTGAGAGGAGAGAGTGGAGTTGTAGAGTGTGGTTGCAGAGTTAGGGCAGTTGTGATTTGAGATGGGTAAAAGGAGTGTTTGGAGTTTGGTGGAGAAGTGCTGGAGATCGAGGGAGTTGAGGTTTCTGCGAGCTTGGAGAGTTGATGGTGGTGAAATTTTGGTATGGGGTATTCAGATGTTAAATGTTAGCAGATGGTGGTCAGACAAAGGAAATGGAACAGTGGCGAGATCAGAGGTGGCACAGAGATTGGTGAAGATGAGGTCAAGAGTGTTTCCTGCAGTGTGAGTTGCTGAGGAAGAAATCTGTGTGAGTCCAAAGGAGGAGGTTACAGAGAGCAGACGAGAGGCATCAGGGCAGTTGAGCTTGTTGATAGGGATATTGAAGTCCCCAAGTATGAGAGAGGAAGTGCTAGAGGAAAGAAAGTTGGGTAACCAGGAGGAAAAGTGTTCAATAAATAGTTTAGAGTGACTGGGGGGGGCGATAGATGAAGAAGAAGAGAAGGTGGATTGTGCTCATTACTGGTAGTGTTTGCAGCTGCTATTTGGAATTATCTAAAGTTGTGTGTGGGATTCTATCCTATAAATGTAGTAAGAAACTTGGTGAGGGGAGGACGGGAATCTGAGCACTGTTCAGGTTTGCTAGAAGTGGTCTTTTAAAACTCAGACTGTGGAAGACAGAGATGATAGGGTCAAAACAGGACTGCAATAAAAGCTATGGAATGGAGATACACATAGGAGGTGAGGATTGGTCAAGCAAGACATTCGGGTGGGTATCAATAAAATAAGGGGGGGGGGAGAAGAAATAACAGAGAGAGCCTTTAGAGATAAGCAGGATGTTGAATAACATTTAAGTTAACAAACCAGTGATGAGCAGGGCAGGGAGCAACTAGCTTTAGCATGCAGGACAAGACAAACTGCAGAATATATGTGTGTATGAGCAAACACACACACATATACACACTAAAGAACAAGCACATCCAGTTAAGATACAATGACAAAGAAATGGTGGTTAGAGATACATATTTTAAAAATATGCAAGTGGTTAAAATTCAATACAATTATAGTGTCCAGTATTAAGGGTAGATAGTTTCCTCCATAGTCTACCTTGCAGAAACTCAGAAATGCATAAGGCCTTTTCCTTCCAGCTGTAGGTGGTCTGAGCACTGTTCAGGTTTGCTAGAAGTGGTCTTTTATATATAGATATATATGTATTGATGATTTGTATACTGCCCCAGCTTTTTTCCTACTGTTGTTCACTTCTCACTTAATCTGTGAAAAAAAAATATATATATATATTCTTTGAGCTACTCTACCAATCCCTGCTGTATTTTAAAGAGGACATTCTGGGCTTTGCAGTGATATAAAATGTGATAGGCTGGTATACTGGGAACCTCGTCTTCCTTTACATCAAAAATGGATGGCAATTTTTCCTCGGTTTCCAGGAGGATATAAAAAGCCATTTGAAGTAGTAGGAACACGGAACAAACAATATGGTTATCCATCTGGAAGACAGTCATTTAATAGCAAAATCATATGTGAAAAGATTTAGAAAAACAGGTAATAACCTTTTTATCAAAATACCGGAAAAAGAAAACTTTCCTGCAGCAGTGAAATAGAAAGATGGTAGTTACAAAATGTCAGGGCTCTGCAATAGGCTGCACTTGGAACAAGAGAAAATGTGGAGCAGGCACTCCTCTAACCAAAAAACAGAACATATGAACAGCAAAGTGCAACTTCTATCCACTTCATACCAATTGGTTTGGTGGCATACTAGCAGCATCCGGCGAGGTATGGACTTTTGTGGATAACACATTTATACTTTATAGTTTTTGACATGGGGTGACACTGTTTTATTCAGCAATAATTGTGCAATCATAGGCGTGCGCACGGGGTGTGCCGGGTGTGCCTGGGCACACCCTAATCCCGCGGCACGCCTATGTGTATTGAGACCGGCAGGGGAGATCTCAGGATCTCCCCTGTCGGCTCATGCAGAGCCGGCGCTATCCGAGCGCCGGCTCTGCTCTCAGCCTCCCTCCCCACTGACCCACATGCAGGGAGGGAGGCAGGAGAGGACCGGCGGAGCTATTGCCAGCAGCTCCGCCGGGTTCCTCTCGCGAGATATGAGCGTTGCCTCGGCAACGCTCAAATCTCGCGAGAGTGAACTCTAGCCCCACAGGGGGCTAAAGTTCACTCTCCACTGGACCACCAGGGATCACAGCAGCAACAAGGATCCCATCCTCCACTGGACCACCAGGGAAGGAAGCAGCAGCACGATCCCCCCTCCCTACAAAAGGTAAGAAGGGAGGGGGGATAGCAAATAATGTACCCCCACCTCCACCCCCACAATCACCCACCCACACACAGCACACACACATACAGCACACACAGACATACAACACCCACAGACATACAACACCCACACACATACAGCACCCACAGACATATACAACACCCACACACATACAGCACCCACAGACATACACAGCACCCACAGACATACAGCACCCACAGACATACACAGCACCCACAGACATACACAGCACCCACAAACATACAGCACCCACAGACATACAGCACCCATACACATACAGCACCCACAGACATACACAGCACCCACACACATACAGCACCCACAGACATACACAGCACCCACAGACATACAGCACCCACAGACATACACAGCACCCACACACATACAGCACCCCACAGACATGGCACCCACACCCAGCACCCACACACATACAGCACCCACACACATACAGCACCCACAGACATACAGCACCCACAGACATACACACCACCACACACACATACACATACAGCACCCACAGACATACACAGCACCCACACACATACAGCACCCATACACAGCACCCACACACATACAGCACCCATACACAGCACCCACAGACATACACAGCACCCACAGACATACACAGCACCAACACACATACAGCACCCACACACACATACAGCACCCTCACAAACACACACAGCACCCTCACACACACACAGCACACAAACAGCTCCCTCACACACACACAGCACACTAACAGTACCCTCACAAACACAAACAGGACCCTAACAAACACACACACAGCACACTACCAGTACCCTCACATACAAACAGCACCCTCACACACAGTACATTAACAGCACCCTCACAAGCGCGCACACACACACAAACAGCACCCTCACACACAGTACATTAACAGCATCCTCACAAGCACGCACACACAAACACCCTCACCCACATAGCACACTACCAGCACCGTCACACACACATCACACTAACGGCACCCTCACACAGCACACACACACACACACACAGCAGTGTGTGTATGTGTGTATATATGTGTATGTGTGTGCAGGGCCGGCCTTAGGGGTGTGCGAGCTGTGCGACCGCACAGGGCGCCATGGAACAGGGGGCGCCCTGTGGCCGACACAGCTCACTCATGGCCGGAGTGCAGGGGAGCTAAAAGAGGTACCTGGCTGGAGGATTAATTATTCTCCACCCGGGTCTATTTAAAAAAAAAAAAAAAAAATCGCGGCAGAGGGGGCGGGGTTTACCGAGCGGCGGAGGCGGGGCTTATCGAGAGGCGGAGACGGGGCTAATACCTCCCGAAGCCCCTGCTGTACAGGAAGAGGGAAAGATGCTTCCCCATCAGCCAACTGCATCCACTGGAAAGAGGTAAGTGTGTGTGTGTGACTGTTTGCCTGTTTGTGTGACTGTCTGTCTGTGTGTGTGTGTGACTGTCTGTCTGTGTGACTGCCTGCCTGTGTGCGTGTGACTGTCTGTGTGTGTGTGTGACTGTCTGTGTGACTGCCTGTCCTTGTGTGTGTGTGTGTGACTGTCTCTGTGTGTGACTGCCTGCCTGTGTGTGACTGTCTGTGTGTGTGACTGTCTGTCTGTGTGACTGCCCATGTATGTGACTGCCCATGTATGTGACTGCCTGTGTGTGTGACTGTCTGTCTGTGTGACTGTCTGTCTGTGTGACTGTCTGTCTGTGTGACTGCCCATGTGTGTGAGACTGTCTGTCTGTGTGACTGTCTGTGTGTGTGTGTGACTGTCTGTCTGTGTGTGTGACTGCCTGTGTGTGTGACTGCCTGCCTGCCTGTGTGTGTCTGTCTGTAACTATCTGTCTGTGTGTGACTGCCTGCCTGTGTGTGTGACTTTCTATCTGTGTGACTGCCTGCCTGTGTGTGTATAACTGTCTATGTGTGTGTTACTGTGTGTCTGTCTGTGTGTGTGACTGCCTATGTGACTGTCTGTCTGTGTGTGTCGCTGTAGCTGTGCCATTGTTTGTGCCTGTGCCTGTATGTGTGACTGCCTTTAACTGAGTGTGTGTGTACATGCCTGTAACCGAGTTTAAATTTCCCCCACCCCTTCCTGTCAAGGCCGCACTTTGACTGACAGACGCTCACTCACTGACAGACGCACACTCACTGACAGACACACACTCTCATATACACTGACAAACAATGACATACACACATACACTATTACTTGGACACACACTGACAGATGCACACTCTCACTGACAGACGCAAGCACTCACTGAAAGATGCACGACTCCACTGACCGACACATACACACTGACTGACACACACTCACTGACTGACACACACTCACTGACCGACACACACTCACTGACCTACACACTCACTGACCGACACACACTCACTGACACATACACACTCACTGACGACACATACACACTCACTGACGACACATACACACTCACTGACTGACACATACACACTCACTGACTGACACATATACACTCACTGACCAACACACACATTCACTCACAGACACACACACATTCACTTACAGACACACACAATTACACACTTACAGACACACACACACACACACACACACACATTCACTTCAAAATAAACACTCACAGACACACACACAGACATTTCCACTAACACTCACAAACTAATATTTTTTACATTTATTTTAAATCCACCCAGCCTCCCTGGGAAAGCTGGAGTGGATTTCTTACCAGCAGTCCAGTGTGGCTGCTGGGCAGGCAGGCAGGGGGCGCACAGGCTGAGTAAGCAGCGCTTAGTGATGCCGGGAGCCGGACTGACGTCATATTCTGGCTCCCGGCTTCATTAAGCGGCGCAGAGGAAGCTGAGCAGGAAGAGCTCAGGTGAGTATGCTCCTTCGCTGCCCGCTGCCAGCCTTGGGGGGGCTCAAAAGTGGCCAGCCGGTCAGCTCTTGAGCCCCCCAGGATGCGAGGCAAGCAAGGGATCTGCCTGGGGGTTTGGAGGGATGCTTTTTTTTGCCGCCCCCTGCAAAGTGGCGCCCAAGGCAGATGCCTTGTTTGCCTCGTGATACACACGTCCCCGGTGCCTGTGTGTGTTACTGTATTCAGGCAACTTGATGGGAGGTGGGGGGGGCGCCGTGAAGACTTTTTGCACAGGGCGCCTAATTGCCTAAGGCCGGCCCTGTGTGTGTGTGTATGTATATATATATATATATATATATATATATATATATACATATATGAGGCGTGTGCTTGTGCTTTAGGGTGCACACCCTAATGCAATAGGCTGCGCACGCCTATGTGTGCAATGCAGAGGGACTAACCATAGCACTTATGGAAAAATGTGTTTCTTTATCACGTGATGATGGAATGGAAGACAAGTTATGTGAGCTTCATTCATTACATTTTATTTTGCATTGAAAATCTAGACAACATGACACCAGCCTTAGTATACACGGATTTGAAAGATACGGGGTAAAGTATTAAAATCAGGTCACGATCAAAGTAGTAACAGGTTAAGGTATTTGATCTTAAATAAAATATTTACTGTAAAGGAATTTGTTCTCCAGAAATATTGAAAGAATATCTGCCTGTCACCACTAGAGTTAGAAATTAAATCATGCATTGTGTCAGATGGACAATAGGGAGATTCAAAACTGTGAACTTTGCAGAATACAGTAGACAATGACAGCCAAGAACATTCAAAGTTTCAAATAGTTTTTCCTGAATACTTTGCCATTGTTCATTTCTTCTGAGCCTATATTTTGCTGGCTCTTTCTGTATCGGCTGACATTCCATTGTATTACTTGGACATATTAAATAAAAACTTTTTTCATAGCATTCATATCATTTCGAATATATCATTTTTGAAACAAAATGTAAGTTACATGTCCGCAAGAATTGTACAAGGTGGAAAATTAGATTTTGGTTGATTTGTGATTTGTCTGTGTGGCCTTTTGGTTTGGACAAATTTTGGCAATGTTATAGTTTCAGGAAAAAATATTTTGAATAAACCAAATGGTAAAAAATTGGTCAATCTGTGCACTAAAAAATATAAAATATTATTTAAAACAGTCCACAGGGGAAGGTTTCTAGTGCTTGTTTACAATATGAGGTAGGCAGCTTGAACAACCCAAATCAGAGTCTCTTCATTCTGGTCGCAGATAAAAACTTAGAGGGAAGCAGCGCCTTAAGGGTGTCCTCCAATCCAAATTCAGATAGGCGAATATGTAAAATAAAGGAGGATAAAGTGCAGAACATAGTGTAGTATGTTGACATTCCGGAGAATTAAATAAAAAGTAATTCAATTACAGTTTTCTGGAGCTGATAACTAGCTCCAAATGTATGCACCCGAGTGGTACAATGCCAGCCTGTGATGTGTCTTGATCCAATGGGGAAACTCTGGATGGTATAAAACAAAATAACAGCAAAAAAAAAAAGAATCAAGTATATTTATTCTTTTTGTTTTTATTCAGATAGGCCACAGGTGGTGCCTATCTGAATTTGGATTGGAGAAAACCATTAAGGCGCTGCTCCCCCCCACCCCCATCTTTTATTAATAAAAGATTATTTATATGTTTCCAGGACATTGAGAAAAAATAACCAATATAGTGGCAGTAAAAAAATAAATCTATATTTATTTTGATATATAAATATAGATTATTTTACTGTTCTTAATTATTTCCCTCAGTTGGTCACTTCTCACTTGATCTCTTAATAAAATCAGCATTTTCCCCAACCACCAATTATCATTTTTCTCATAAATAATTTTTTTTTGGCACCTCCGACTGAACCACTAAACAAATATAACTATTCATCCTTTGTCTATTTTCGAAGTTACAGAATTCTGACGACCCACCAATCTTAAAAAATTTTGGACAAATTGTAATTACTTTGAAACTGAATGCACAAGTCTAATATCCACTTTTCAATCTACCTAAGCAAGATTAACTGGGGGCAAAAACAATCCGTTAACTAGCTAAAAATAATATATTTATAAAACATTTTATAAATATACATTCACAAACCACACAAAAACATTCACATTAGAAAACAGACACACATTACAAGACACTCACAAACACATTGTTTTTTTGCATGTATTACACTGTATTGCTGAAGGAAGAATCAACTGTTTGCTCTAACTCAGAGTGCTAAGTGCACACTAAGATACTAATTAGCCTATAGAGAAAAATATAATCACTCACAAATTAAGTAAATAATTAGACCTTGAAATCAAGTGCTTGTAGAATTACTCTATTTTTCTCGTAATAAGTTTAGAACACATTGGGGGACAATAAAATGCAGTAACTCTAAAACAGCATGGGTTTGGTCAAGAAAGTACTATGTGAAAGACTTTAAAAGATCCTCCAAATTGAGGTTCTTTTAAATAATTACCATTGTATGTACATTTTTCTAAATCTTCAATCCAAATCTTTGATCCAAATCACGGACAGTAGCCAAAAAAACACAAGTGAAAGTGTCAATAGCGCTAGAAAATCACTTCAAAAATAAAGATATTTTAAGTTAGTACAAGCCAGTAATAGAATTGCCTTCTTTTACAGCAGAACAAAAATGTAAGTTTTCCTCCACTCCAGCTATTTTACTTTTTTTGCAACTGTTGCATTCATTTGGAGCTTAGGACTCATTACTCTAATACCTTTTTTTGAATCAACCTGTATGAGTCATATGGTCAGCTATTCTATCTGTTCTGATTTGATACAATATTATAATAATGGCTGTTCTGCTACGCAAATTCCCCAAACACTCCAACTTTCATTCCCGCTGGAAACATAGTTACATTAAATTGCCGGAGAAGTGTCCTGTCGTTATTGTTTGTGCGTGTAATTGCCTGCTGTTTCTTACATTCCTACCTATCAAGCATTAAACAAGCAGACCGAGCAATTAAATAAACAGAGATAAAAGGCAAAATGTTTTTGTTCCTGTTAGTCTATTCATGATTAGCTTTCCTTCTTGGCTTTTCAGAAAAAAATAGCATTAACCTGTAATAATAATGATATTTTGCACTGTAAGTCGAATTCAGTACTTCTGGCATTACAAAACCCAGAGGAACCATGCAAAATATAATTTGGTCATTACTGCTTGGTTTGGATACCTAACCTCTTCATCTCTATTACAATTCTTGCTCTCACTGTTTTAGTAACAGAACCACTTAACCAGTGGAAATAAAAGATTTAAATTGGGGTCAAAATAAGGATAGAAATCCAAATGGGTGAAAATCAGTATCAAAAAAGCAAGTTTATATATTTGAGAATGTTATTTGTGTATTATTATTATTTTTTTAAGTCCATATGTGACAGCTTGTTATACATTATCTCAGCAAAAGGGACTAGACTTTGTTTCAAAACAAAGTAGCTTTGGTAGTCTGATAGTCATTCATGTGGTATTATTATTATGTTATTATTTATATAGCGCCAACAAATTCCGCAGCGCTTTACAGTGGGTGGACGAACAAACATGTAGTTGTAACCAGACAAGTTGGACACACAGGAACAGAGGGGTTGAGGGCCCTACTCAAATGAGCTTACATGTTAGAGGGAGTGGGGTATAGTGAAACAGTAACAGAGGGATTGAGGGCCCTGCTCAGTGAGTTTACATGTTAGATGGAGTGGGGTATAGTGACACAGTAACAGAGGGATTGAGGACCTGCTCAGTGAGTTTACATGTTAGATGGAGTGGGGTATAGTGACACAGTAAAAGAGGGATTGAGGGCCCTGCTCAGTGAGGTTACATGTTAGAGGGAGTGGGGTATAGTGACACAGTAAAAGAGGGATTGAGGGCCCTGCTCAGTGAGTTTACATGTTAGAGGGAGTGGGGTATAGTGACACAGGAACAGAGGGGTTGAGGGCCCTGCTCAATGAGTTTACATGTTAGAGGGAGTGGGGTATAGTGACACAGTAACAGAGGGATTGAGGGCCCTGCTCAGTGAGCTTACATGTTAGAGGGAGTGGGGTATAGTGACACTGTAACAGAGGGATTGAGGCCCTGCTCAGTGAGCTTACATGCTAGAGGGAGTGGGGTATAGTGACACAGTAACAGAGGGATTGAGGACCTTCAAAGTGAGATTACATGTTAGAGGGAGTGGGGTATAGTGACACAATAACAGAGGGATTGAGGGCCCTGCTCAATGAGCTTACATGTTAGAGGGAGTGGGGTATAGTGACACAGTAACACAGGGATTGAGGGCCTGCTCAGTGAGTTTACATGTTAGAGTGAGTGGGGTATAGTGACACAGTAACAGAGGGATTGAGGGCCTGCTCAGTGAGTTTACATGTTAGAGGGAGTGGGGTATAGTGACACAGTAACAGAGGGATTGAGGGCCCTGCTCAGTGAGTTTACATGTTAGAGGGAGTGGGGTATAGTGACACAGTAACAGAGGGATTGAGGGCCCTGCTCAATGAGTTTACATGTTAGAGGGAGTGGGGTATGAAGACACAGTAACAGAGAGATTGAGGGCCTGCTCAGTGATCTTACATGCTAGAGGGAGTGGGGTAAAGTGACACAGTAACACAGGGATTGAGGGTCCTGCTCAGTGAGTTTACATGTTAGAGGGAGTGGGATATAGTGACACAGTAACAGAGGGATTGAGGACCTTCTAAGTGAGATTACATGCTAGAGGGAGTGGGGTATAGTGACACAGTAACAGAGGGATTGAGGGCCCTGCTCAGTGAGTTTACATGCTAGAAGGAGTGGGGTATAGTGACACAGTAACAGAGGGATTGAGGGCCCTGCTCAGTGAGTTTACATGTTAGAGGGAGTGGGGTATAGTGACACAGTAACAGAGGGATTGAGGGCCCTGCTCAGTGAGTTTACATGCTAGAGCAGGGGTTCTCAACGTTAGTCCTCAGGACCCCCTACCTTCCAAGGTTTAGGGATTACCTGGGTGTGTCTCAGGTGTTTAGAAAAAGAAAAAAAAACACCTTAGAGTCAATGGTGTTTTTTTCCCCCTTTTTCTAAACACCTGAGACACACCCATGTAATCCCCAAATCTTGGACTGGTAGGGGGTCCTGAGGACTGGGTTGAGAACCCCTGTGCTAGAGGGAGTGGCAGAGGGATTGAGGGCCCTGCTCAGTGAGTTTACATGTTAGAGGGAGTGGGGTATAGTGACACAGTAACAGAGGGATTGAGGACCTTCAAAGTGAGGTTATATGCTATAGGGAGTGGGGTATAGTGATACAGTAACAGAGGGATTGAGGGCCTGCTCAGTGAGTTTACATGTTAGAGGGAGTGGGGTATAGTGACACGGTAACGGAGGGATTGAGGGCCTGCTCAGTGAGTTTACATGTTAGAGGGAGTGGGGTATAGTGACACAGTAACAGAGGGATTGAGGGACCTGCTCAGTGAGTTTACATGTTAGAGGGAGTGGGGTATAGTGACACAGTAACAGAGGGATTGAGGGCCTGCTCAGTGAGTTTACATGTTAGAGGGAGTGGGGTATAGTGACACAGTAACAGAGGGATTGAGGGCCCTGCTCAGTGAGTTTACATGTTAGAGGGAGTGGGGTATAGTGACACAGTAACAGAGGGATTGAGGACCTGCTCAGTGAGTTTACATGTTAGAGGGAGTGGGGTATAGTGACACAGTAACAGAGGGATTGAGGACCTGCTCAGTGAGTTTACATGCTAGAGGGAGTGTGGTATAGTGACACAGTAACAGAGGGGTTGAGGGCCCTGCTCAATCAGCTTACATGTTAGAGGGAGTGGGGTAAAGTGACACAAAAGGTAAGAATAGTATTAGACGGTAGTTTGGCTTATCTAAATACAATGGGCCAATTAGTGTACTTAATAATATATGCATAATACAAATATTCAGTACACTGAATGGGGCATTTTCCCACTATTTGCTAAAAACAATCACCACTGTCACATTCCTTAGTTTGGGTGATACATATAAATTTACAATGTGTAACGGCACCCCGGGTAAAAAAGGGGTTAAAGCCATTTAGGATATTCCTTTCCCGAATGTAAAGGCAGCTATGGAACACTCCAATCAGCCGAACAGGAAAGCATATGAATAATCCACACTCTAAACAGCCGAACAGGAAAAAACATACGAATAAATGCCCTCAAGTACGAGACGAGGCTCTGTATTAAGGGTCAAGTAGGAATCTGTTTAATCTGGACTACCTGCCTGCCTTTTATGCAGGTCTCCCACCAGGTGGACACTCGCCTCGGGGATGTGACCAATCAGAACAATACAGGAATAAACACTCCCCTTTGGTTACTGTGGACCCTCCTCTCTATCCTGGAGATAATTGGGAAGTAACTTAATTATCTCCGAGGCTAGAGGACAAACTCAATTTTACAAACATAGGGAAAAATGCATAAAAATATATAATTTACAAACTTCGGAATACAACCCCCATTTGCAACATATCCCCAGATAGCTTAGATCTGAGCGCACATTATTACCGAATAGTGCTCAGATCACATACATACAGTTCAATCGCCATGGAGCCAAAGTCTTTCACATAGTCTTTCGTTATACGAATGGGCTCCATGGGATAGCTATCTGGGGTGACTCTGTTCGTTTTGCAAAGTACTGAACGGTACGGAGTTCATATGAACTGAAGAATAGAAGAAGGGAGGTTGTCGGCTTCAGCGGTGTTCGTGAGAAAATAGTGTCCATTTTTAGTTCCATTAAATCGTCCATGAACACCGATGGGCATTCGTACGTCCAAAATGGCCGCCACCACGAGTTCGTTCATACGAACGATGACCAACCAGCCGACATTCGACAATTAGGAAGTGTCTGCGGTTAACCATAACATTCTAATGAGGCCAAGAGGTTAACAAGCAGCATACGTCCATGCTGGGTGGCCGGTCGTTTCGATGAAACGGGGAATCAGCGTAGGGACCTTACGGACAGGGAAATAGCCTAACAAACAGACGAACCAAGGAGGAATAAGAGTAGTTTAAAGACAGATGGGTCTGTCACACAATGTTAGATTTATTTTTTGTGTTAAAGAAACACTAGAGGTACATTTATACCATAATTTTAGGGCTGCATCGACAATTTTCTGTTCAAACCAAATGTTTTTGAAACAAACAATTTGTTTTTAACAGAAATCCGAACCAGAACATTTTAGAAATCCAAACCAAATTAATTGGGTAGAACCAAATTGTTTTGCTTGCACAAGTCGAATATTCATTATACAACATGCATGATATCGTTGTACTATAGTCAATAAGGACTACTAGATTTATTACTATTTTATTGATATGTGATTTCCAAATATATGAGTTTGCAGTATTTTTGCTGTAAAGAAACAAATTGGTTAATAAAAGTTAGAGTTATCATAAGTAATAAATATACTTGATTAATGTATTATGAGCATCTGCATAGTGATCTGTAGAGTTAGAGTAGTGTGGAATTCAATGTATTTGTGGCGAAACCAACCTCGCCACTGTGAACTGGAGAAGCCTGGTTGCTCGCCTGCTCC